GATAAAGATTCGATCCATTGTAAACTAATATTAATTATATGGATATCTGCGTTGTCAATATTTTTTCTGCCTTTTGATTATAATAGTTACTAGTTTATTTTATTTTCTGTTTTGGCATATACTTGTATATAAACCTCATTAAATTCGATATCAAAATAGTCACTTAAAGGAATAAATTTTTAAAAAGTCATAATAAATCAGTGGCGGATACGGTTGGAAAGGTTGGGGTGTGTGTGGGGTGGTCGTAGAGAGCATACCCCCCGTCCTTTCTATTCATATTTATATTTATGTTTGTATTGGGGTATGTGACCATCGGCAGTCTTCGGAGGTCATCTCGATGGTAAATCAGATGACGTCTAGACAAAAATACACACGAAATGCTGATACATATTATCGAGTCCATGCATTGTTTGTTGTTTATTTTAGACTTTTTGTAATTTTGATATACGTTTTACTATGATATACATCAAATGAGAATTTTAGTCAAATCGGTGAACATGAATTTGACAGCTAATGCCCCTTTAAGGTACTTTCTAATAACATTTTTAACTTCTGAAGGTATGGTTCGGAACATCTGACTTCCTACCAATAACATAGAGATTTCCGTTATAATCAATTTATCCTAAATAGCCCATGATGGACCATTCTTTTGATGATTATATTGCATCGTTTTTCTCCAGCTAGTTATCTTAGCCCGAAAATGGTATAGTAGATCTCACGACTATTTCACCAATATGACGTCTTGGCACGTTCTTGTTGAAATCATTAATGACTTTGAATCCAACACGTGGTAAAGGACTTCCTACACAGTAAGAGCCCGAGGAGGTATTGATTATGTCGATTGAAGGAAGAAATCCTATTTCCGTCGTACCGTATGCAGCAAAGAAATTGTATGCTATCGACCCTACAATTTCTGCACGCCGATGTGCAATAGCCAAGTCACGTGTAAATACGGTATTTAAAGGTAGTTGAGCGCATTTGGAAAGGTCTAAACGAAACATCACTTGTAAACACTGTGGAAACAAATAAGCTGCAGTACATTTTTCCATATCAAATATATGAATTGCGAAAAATTTATGTTTTCTATGGAATTAAAATTTAAAAAAGGTCTTCTACAATTACTTTTGTTATTCCCATGGGATGACACGCTGGAAGACCCACACTCCATACGAATCTTTGGCCGTTACATCATTTTCCCATTAGTTCATAGATATTCTTAAACTGTACCACATAAAAAGTGTCCATATGTTGGTACGGGAAACAGCTTTTGGGGTTACTGTACTTCCTCCAGTAAAAGAGTACAAAAATCTTCTGGGCTCAGTTTACTAGGCAGCTTAACGTCACATTTATTTACACTGATGAGTCTTTTGTAGAGACGAAACGCACATCTGGCGTACAAAATTTTAAGCCGAGTATCTATGATGAGATTATTTACAGATATCAATGATATCGTTAATCACTAAGGATAATCAGTTACTTATAGGTGTTTTGTTGTAAATTGCAAACCTGAGTGAAGGTAGTCCATTTCTGAACATTGTACCCATTGTTTCTATCAAATCAACAAAAGACAAAACTCTTTTCCAGTTTATGTCATCAGGTCTTCCTGTTAAACTGAATTGAAAGAAACAGCAACTAACCCAGTACTTCGTATTCTGAAAACACAAATTAACGAATATTATTACTCTCCGATGGAGTACCATGTTTTGATTCGTACAGTAGCTTTCTAATTGTGGAGCATATTGTCGGCCGTTTGTTATCATTCATTTAAGTTGCATGTTGACATTTTGTAACGTTTCCGGGAATTCGATTTTATTTGCACTTTTAAAATTTACTTTATCCGAAAGTTTGTGTGTTCATCTTATCTAACAAAATATTTACAGTAGAAATGTGATAGTGCTTGGGTGCTCGAGCTTCGATGCGTGGCTCTATGTTTGGAACGTACTGTATATGTAATGTCAGTAAAACGTTGATTTTTTAAATAATTGTTCTATGAGACAGAATGATCATGAAAGGGTTTAGAAAAACAGGTTTGCAAAAATGTGTAGCCCCATTATCTCCGATACAAAATGAAACCCAGGGCACCGATAGTGAAATGTATGCGTCACATGTTATACAACTTAAATTTTAATCAAAATTTAAGTATATATAACTGTATCTAATTCAAGTATAAAAACACAGTTTATGTTGATAATCATGTACACATTCGTTGTTCATCTTCATACATATAAAAATAATGATTTCCGCATAGTCAGCTATCATTTGAAAAGGCCCTGAAATGACAAGTGTAAAATAATTCAAACGAGAAAACTAACGGCCTGATTTATGTACAAAATAAAGAACAAGAAAAACAAATATTATATACAGCAACAAACGACAACCACTGAATTACAGGCTTCTGACTTGGGACAGCCCATACAGAATGTGGCGGGGTTAAACAAGTTAGCGGGCGCCCAACCCTCCCCCAACCTGGGACAGTAGTGTAACAGTACAACATATGAACAAACTATAAAAATCAGTTGAATAGGGCTTAACTCATCAGATAGATACAAAGCAAAATATGTAACAAAAACACATAGTGGACGTTGTAGGGTACTTTGTATACATGATCGTTGATTTTCTGGTTGAATTGTTTCATATTTTATCATGCCGGGCCTTTTATATCTTACCTTATGGTATAGGTTCATTGTTTAACGCCATACTTTGACCTTCTTATAGTTGTATAAACGTCATTTTAACACTGGATAGTGGTTTCATTGGCAACCATACCACATCTTTTATTTTTATATATAGACTAGATGTTCATATGTCAGTGTCAAGTCCGTGGAATTGTATTATTAGGGAAATTGCTAATTACAGAAAAGGGATCCCCTTAAGTATGTACTGTAAAAAATCTAAACATATAAAGAACTTAAGTTAGAAAACTCTGACACATATCCAACACACCAACCTAGCCATATTGATATAACTGATGTTGCATGCATACAATATAGTAGTGGTGATCTTGACCTCGATGTAGCTATAGATTTCATATTGAAAGCATCTCAAATTTTAAGAAATGTTGCAGATTTATTCCTTAAAGCGTTCAGCTGAACTTGCCCATAAATTTTGACCCACTATTATTATTTTCCCCTAAATGAGGTTAAAAATTTATAAATTCTCTGTACTTTTAGAAATATCTGGGACGATAGCAAGGTGAAATTTTGTCTACTATGTTAAACCAAAAATTTTCTTTTTTTTCTATAAAGGATGCGTTGGTGAGGGGTACGCTCTCTACGCCTTACCTGAATTCGTCGCTGCTTTTTATTGCGATAAAGCCCACTACTCATAACGTAACAACTGGAAATAGTCAATGCTTCAGCAGAAGGTCTTATGATCTCTTATTGTTTACCTCTATTGTCTATCGGATCGATTTTATGAACATGCAGCGGATAATGATTTCCATTTTTCCATTTTTTTGTAGTTTTTACACAAATTATAATAGATAATCAAAGTACTGAAGTACTGAACATCGGATGACCGCAAGTTCTTGCGGATGGTCAAAAGCACTTGTCACAGAAAAAAATCACATCTCTATACCTGAAACTGAGGTTAATGTACAGAGATATTTTTTTTTCTATGACAATTTCGTGCGTGGATGATGAATAAATGACAGGAAATTCAACCTCACCGTAATACCTATTATATTGTAGTGATACAAATCAGTATACACTGGTTTGTTGTTATATATTATATTAATATAACAGTTACATGTATATATAATTTTCATCCATTTGTATATCATTCTATTCTACCATTCTAATAATAGTGCAATGCAACTACATGGTGGACACTCTTCTGTAAAAATTCGATTTTTCTAAAAGATTGGATATGAGTAGGCATTCATATTTTCCCGCAAAAAAAAAATCTTCCATGCAGAGTTACCGGTCCTTGTCGGGATTGTCGCAAAACGTTCTTGAGATATTCTTCCGCATACTTCACAACAATTTTTCGGTACGTGTGCATAGATATTATCAATGATTATTTACTTATATATATATATATATATATATATATATATATATATATATATATATATATCTAACGACAAAACATTTTCATATTATTAATTTATGTTCTAAACAAAAATATTTTTACCAGTATTCATTGAAGAGATGTATTTATAACAAACGATAAGGAATGTTATTTTGCACTCGTTAATATCCGCGTATTTATCATGTTTATAGATTGGTTAAAAACCCAAAACGAATGTTACGCAATGGAAATCTAGGCGATAGCAATACATCGGAATGGCCTCACGGTCATCCCGATGTAAAAATGTTTTATATAAATCAGTCATATTAAGTGTAGTATTGCGGAGCATGTACGGAACGGATATGAACTCTGCGCCGGAGATTGGTCAACATGGTGAAACACTACAGTTATAGGATTTATTGCCATTAAATGATGTTGCTATATCTCAAAAACTTTAATAGCTCATAAAATTTTTCAAAGCAATATACAAAAATGCCACTAAATAAGATCTACATATAAGCAAACATAACTGATTGCAATTAAGAAAAAATGAATATCAAAATTGTATATTTCTACCAGGTTTTACTGTGTATTACTATTGACAGAGATATCACGAAGTAAAATATGCGGAATGTCTCAATTTCGTGTTGTCGTATATGATAAATTCTTATGTTGGACTAAAATCTTTAAATTTTTTATTTGATACTTAAGAAAAGCATCTAGACTCTTTTAAAATCAGATGAGAAATAATCTCATTATACGTCACTATGCATAATTTGACATAACGACCACAGCTAGATGACTGGTCACATAAGTTTCATTTATTTAAAAGTAAAATAAGCCGGACAATTTATACATGCTGAATAAACTAAAAAATAACAATATAAACCGCATACTTCGTGTCTTGACTATATAAATTGGACTAGCAAATGAGGCACAACACTAACACATTATTAGCTGAAAGGCATTACTAACGTTAGAGAATCAACATGGACAATTTTAGTATAAGCTACGACCAGTTACCTATGACAGAGCCTTTCATGCATTGCACCATTCCCGATAGAATACAATACTATGCTACAAACAGTCCGGACAAAGCTGCATTTATTATTCATTCTAAGTCTGGAAGTCGTGAAGTTATAACATGTGAAAATTTATATCAGCAGAGTCAGACATTTGCTAGGGGTCTTGTACATCTTGGAATTAAGAAAAGTGACACTATAGGTCTGTTTTTTCCAAACAGTAAAGAGTGGCTTGTTTCAACCTTTGGAATATTAATGGCAGGAGCGGTTCCATTACACATGTCATTCAAGTACAAGGACGGTCGAGATATTATACCAGTTCTACAGGTTCCAGGAAATTGTAAAGCTATATTGATGGCTAACGAGAAGGATAGTTCCATTCGTGATTTTCTAGATAATATTCTAAAAAGAAGCAAATCCGATACTGAGATGACGGAGCTTAAAAAAGAATGTCTCATTCCTTCTCTGAAATTTGTTGCTTTAGAGAATTCAATAACAGGTTTTGAAGATTGTTGCACGATTTCGGATATCTCCAATATCGGTACTAAGTATCAGAATATAAACTTACCATTTCTTGATCCAGATGACATTGCAGCTTTTTTATTGACGTCTGGCAGTACCGGGATCTCGAAACTCGTGCCAAAGACGCATTTACAAATGCTTGAAGTCGGTCAAGGATTTGTCGCTGCATTTAACATGGAATCTTGCGATGTATATTTCAGCGACAGGTTATTTAACTGGGGAGCTGGGTATCCGACCATATTTTTGGTTTGTGGTGCTACACACGTGACCTCATCTGACCAGTTTACTTTACAGAGCATCAGTGAAATATGCAACTTAGCGATTGAAATAATTAAACAAGATAACTGTACGGTGTGTCAGATCCTACCAGCTTTTGCGATGGAAATTCTGAAAAGAGATGAAAATGAAATAAGTCCAAGAGTTTTAGCTACCGGTGGAGTTCCTATTCCAAAAGAATGTGCTCAAGTTGTTCCAAGATTTTGTAAAGAATTCATATGTATTTATGGAACAACAGAAATGGGAGGTGTTTCGGTGAAAAGGTCTCAAGCGGCGTCCGACTTTTCCGACTATAATATCGGTAAACCTTGGCCGGGAGTCGAAATGAAAGTCGTCGATACCGAAGGAAAAACACTGCCACAGAATGAAGTAGGAGAACTCTTTGTTCGAAATCGAGTTGCTTTTGGAGGTTACCATAAAAATCCAGATAAAACAAATCAAGTATTGGGAACTGATGGATGGTACAAAACAGATGACATAGCGTACATGAATGAAAATGGAGATTTTACAGTCACAGGACGTTGTTCAGATATCATTTTATGTCATGGTGAACCAATCTCACCATCTTACATCGAAGACGAGATTAAAATACATCCAGCAGTAGCAGAAGTTTGTGTAGTTCCTGTCAGTGATCCAGTTTGCTTTCAAAAGGTCTGCGCGTGCATCGTTTTGCGAAAAGGTTCACTACTTTCAGAAGATGAACTAAAATTATTTCTATCAGCTGGTGCCAAAAGTCAGATTAAATTCCTAGAACATTCTAGAATCCATCTTTTCTTTGAAAGTTTTCCTAAAACTGCGAATGGGAAAATTTTCCGAAGAGGTGTGAAGGAAGAAGCAGAACAAAGACTAAATGGAAGAAAATGATAACTTGATGTATATCATTATCTAAATTTCGTACATATATATATTTATATATTTATATTAGATGACTGAATAGTAGCCAACGATAAATCTTACGGGGCGATGGATCATAAAATTATGATACAGTACACTACAAGATATAATATATAACCAGTCTAAATATATTTATATATAGTATACACAGTTCGATATAATCTAACCAGATACAGGTACAATTACAACAGAAATACGAGTATTTACTAGAAATAGAATAGAAGTAAATATTGGTAATACGCCAATGAAACAGCAACCAGCCAAACGAAACAAAAATTCAAAACCCATCTAGCGTCCTGTATACATATGTGTATGTATAAGTGTGAAATGACACAATGATTTTTACGGTGATGTTGTTTTATATAGTTTGTATAAAGATCTTAAGATATTTTGTCTTTATTGGTAATCAAATTGATTATGTTATTTACAAATTAAAACAGCTATATATATGCATTCTTTACAGTTCTAAACACTTTATGCCCAACATCCTGTCGATATGACATATTTTGGCATAGCACAAAGTCGTGCTTTTTCTCAGTCTGTTTGTTATTTTATTCATTGATTGTATTTTGTTTTGAACTAGCTTTCAATAACTATGAACACTCTTAGATCGGTTGTCCTTGTATATTCGTAATTCTGCAAATTGTTTGCTGTTGGTGGCTTTTCTGGGGAATGTAAGATAAAGTGATTCATATATGTGCAGCATTTACAGTATATGTCACCACAAGAGTGACGCTTTCCAGATTCGGAAGCAATAATTGGTTCACTTCAGTCCGTACCTGCAATTTCCCAAGAGAACGCTATCATACGGGGCTCGACAAAGGTTTTGAATGGTTTGGGATTTTTTTTCAGCTGAGTTCCAACGTTCCCGAATGCCACCGAAGATATTATTGGATACAATGTCTCTACACCCAGATTCAACTCTTTCCACATATTGATTCATGGTTCGACATATTGATGAAAAAGTGTCATAATTTTTAAAGGTAAGGAGAAAAGAGTCTTTTTAGAAGAATTTTTAAACTTTTATTCAAAGGATAGATATCTCCCTCATTTTTTCATATCAAAATGTGAGATGGAAAATTCCTGATAATTTAGAAGGCGATTTTATTTATCCTTTGGTTAAAGTGTTTAAGGGGAAGCATCGGTCAAACCTTATATTTTGGGAGATAGAAAAATGATGTCATGTTTAAGGAACAAAGATTTCAACCATTTTGAAAGTATAATGATTACTAATGTATTCTGAATTGCTAGAATTTTTAACAAGGAAAAAAACTTAAAGGTATTGGACGAAAGTCAATGTAAATGCAAATACATCTGTTACTAGAAAACTACGTATCATAATTTCACATATCATACCGATTTGGTGTGTTTGTTAATCTCGTTATCTCCAAAATTGGGTAATGTCAGTAAACATGGACGTAAAACTGTAAAACTTACATGTAACATATATCCAAATGCAACTAACCTACAAAGAAATCCTGGAGATGTTGTTTTATTCTTATTGATTGCTTATTATTCTAAATTACTTAACAAAAATAAAAACAAAAACACAAAAACAAAAAACATATCAAATACACAACCAAAAGAAAGAGCCAGTTTTACGAAGATTTGGTTTTGATTTTTTGTGTTTTAACGCCACTTTTAGGCACTGCTTTTGGGCTATTTCGTGGCGGCCAGTTTTTATTGGTGGAGCCGGAGTGCTCGGAGAAAACCATCGACCTTTGATAGGAAAACTGACAATCCTAGTCAATTAAGATTGCAGTCGAGTGCACCCGTACGAGCGGGGTTCGAACTCACAACATCAGTGTTGACTGGCTAGTGATTACAGTAGTAACTACTTAGACCACTCGGCCACCGAGGCCCCAGTTTTACGAACAGGAATAACAATAGTCTTATTCGTCTAACAAATCAAATACGTAACATATTTGCAGAATAATATCAGTCATGGTCATTTTCAAAAGTTTCTTGTGAGAGTTGTCCTCCATTGTTAATGTGTTGTTACTTCCTTAAGAATCTATTTTACTATTTCAGTAATACAGTGTCCATATTCGCCAACCGTGAAAACAGCTCAATAGAGTTTCAGATTTTTTAATCCATCTGCGCCTGCAGGCACCCTCCTGAAACAACACCTGCATAAGTCATTATAAAAAAACCGCTCATCAGACTTTACAACTCAGTGTCCACACTTGTTCATTCGCAACCAAAAAAAAAGAAGAAAAAAAACGTTTCTCTGCATGTAATAACCAGTCAATAATATACAGTGACAGGTGATATCTATATCTAATGAGGTTCTCTCCTCATTTCAAAGGTTTTTAATAGATAGTCACAAATTTAAATATTAAATTCTATTTCTTCATTAGAGAGGGACGAAAGATACCAGAGGGACAGTCAAACTCATAGATCGAAAACAAACTGACACCGCATTGGCCATAAATAAAAAGACAAACAGACAAATAATAGTAAAGATGACACAACATAGAAAACTAAAGACTAAGCAACACGAACCCCACCAAAAACTGGGGTGATCTCAGGTGCTCCGGAAGGGTAAGCAGATCCTGCTCCACATGTGGCACCCGTCGTGTTGCTTATGTTATTACAAATCCGGTAAATAGTCTAATTCGGTAAGTCACATTCGTGAAAAGGGAAGGGTATTGTAGTTACGACATAAGGAACATATCCGATATCATCTGTGAAACGGTTATTCCATAACGGTCAACCAACTCGTGATGGCGTCCGTAAAATTTACGAAGAGATGATTTCAACTTCACTATTTGGAACTCTTGGCTTAATAGCTTCCTTGTGAGCAGCAATCCTCTATCAAGGAAATTATGATAGGAAACACAAGCCCAGGAATATCGTATCAATTGGGAGATATATACTCCGTATGCAGGCGCTGCTGGAATGTTGCTACATAGAAATGGAAAGTTCACAATTGGGAAGCTGAAATCATCTCTTTTGTCGTAAAGTTTTGTTTTCAACCGATCCTCATTGTTAATTTCTAGATGTAAGTCAAGATATGAGGCAGACTTAACCGTATCTGTAGTATTCTTTATCTCTAGTTCGATGGGATAGATTCGTTCAACATAGTCACCAAATTTTGTATTATTTAGTGAGAGAACATCATCTATATAGCGGAACGTAGAGTTAAAGGATATTGCTAACTTCTTATCTCTCTTCCTAAGAAGTTCATGTATGAAGTCAGCCTCAAAATAATAAAGAAACAAATCGGCAAGAAGAGGGGCACAATTGGTTCCCATTGGAATTCCGACAGTCTGTTGAAAAACACGTCCTCCAAACGTAACAAATATGTTGTCAATCAAGAAATCAAGCATCTTGATAATGTCAGTTTCAGAGAATTTTTTGTTTGAATCAGAGTGATTCTTTACAAAGTAGGATTTATCCCTCCCTAAGACAAGATACTTGTATCTACGTTCGCCATTCTTTTTATTGAAACAAAGTAATACCAACTCTTTCAATTTGTCTTTTAGTTTGGAATAGGGAATACTTGTGTAAAGTGTAGAAAAGTCAAATGTTTTAATACTATTGCAAGATGAGAGAGTCTTAGATTTTATGTACTCTAAAAGATCTTTCGAATTTTTTAGTATCCACATCTGATTCACGCCACCTCTAGAATAGGCAGTTTCACAATAACTTTGGAGCCCGCTTTGATTGCTGATAAAATAGATGTTAATAATTTAAAAAGAGGTTTCGTGGAGCACTTGGAAGATCCAGCAATATACCGTTGTTTGTAAGGACACTTATGTAGTTTAGGTATCCAATACAGTGATGGAAGATCCAGTTCTTCATCTTTGGTTGAAAGTCCAAAGGAACATAGAACAGACCTATGATTATCCAGGATTTCCTCTTTGGTAAGTGTCGTGAGGGTATATGTTGAGTTTCCAAATGAATTGTCAATACCTAATTCATTTATCAAGCAGTTTATGTAAATTAATGATATTTACACACAAAAACGATGTTGTTTGGGGCTTTATCTGCGGGGACAACAACATATTTGTCATGGAGGTAGGACAAGTGTTTTGCAACATCTGGGTCTTTAAAAATTGACGTAGCGTGGGTATTGATATGCCCATTTAGTTTCTTAATTCGGATTTGTATCAACGACCTCACAGCCTTAATCCATTCGGAAAGAGTATCTACGTCTTCTTTCTCGCGTTTAGCCCATTGCCTGGCATAATCCTCGACTGAATCCATCAGTATTTTGAAGTTGTATTTCCAATTGATGGATTTAGGCTCACGATATTTCGGACCTTTGGATAACAAATTTCGCAGGGAAGTGTTATTGACAATGTTGAGGTCTCCGGTAATAACGTGGCCAGCCGGATAATATGTGAATTGGGAACTAGCACAGGTGCAATCAGGAGGTTTAGACTTGAAGTCGTCAATGTTGAGATCCTGCAAAACCTGTTTGTAATTGAAAATTTTAGTTGCAATTGGTTTGGTATAGGTATAAGAAATTATTGGTACGGACTGATCTTTAAAATAAGGAGGTATTTTCGACTGAACTAATTTATGATGAAAGATATTGCCTAAGTTGACGCCATCGAGACCTTTGTTGGCAAAGGAAAGTTTAAGAAAAGATCTTTTCTCTTTTTCATCTTTTCCAATGCGAACTGGTTTGAAAAGTCTGTGACTTGCATAACAGAGAATGAAGTTTTGAAAGGGGTGATGAATACAGTTGCGTGCGAATGTGATGAATACCTAACGGCTTTTGTATAAATGGCAGCAAGTCATTAATAGAGACATCATGCAAAGTAGGTGATGTATAATGACGATGACCATGACTGCGTCTACGTCGAGGAGTAGAGTTGAAAATATTCATCACATTCACCGAGCTACAGGAAGGACTAGATAGAATACCTATACCATCAATTTTGTCATTGCAACCATATAGTGTCGCAGTTCCCAATTGTCGAATCCGTTAGTCCTCTTTTTGTCTTCGGAGAGCCGTTGCAAGTTGAGGATTGTTAGTCTTGTTAGTTTGCATTGAGGTTGATATCTGATCTATGGCCGCATCCAAATTAATAATGTAAATTAATTACATTGGAGGCCTAGGTTTAGATTGAACATATTCGGAAACTTTTGAAAAATATTATTCAAGAATAGAATAAAGAAGACATGTGAACATAAAATGGATTTCATCTTCTACCCCGCTGAGTGTGCAATGCTGGCAGAGTATTCTATACATATTAATTGGGAGTATCCCCTGCTTTCCAGATTTATGACTCTTTCGTCCGTGTCTCCCAGCTTCGATTCTTAAAGAATTCTACGTTTTTCAGGGGTTTCCATAGATAAGTAATGTTCATAATTAAAAGAATACCTAAGTTCAAAGTATGCATGCGTTACGTTTTCATCTGTCATTTGAATATGTATCTCTGCTATTTTTCCATTTTTCCAAATTAATCATTATGTAGACATCTTTTCAAATACACCTTGAATTTATATGATCTTTACAGGCAGATAAATCAATTTTCATCTTTTCATTATTTATTTTTTTACTATATTGATTCGCTTATATTCATTATAAGCCCTACTTAGCATGTCTGATGAGGAATGTTCAAGTCTATACCAATACATGAAACGGGTTATGTTCTTCTCGTAAATTTTATGATGGTACGACACTTAATCCTTAACGGGAGGGATTGTGCTTGATTTTCATACTAATACTAAACTACATTAGCTTCAGCTGGCCCTTGAACAAAAAGGTGTACTAGTTCAATGAAAATGGACGTCACACTAAACTCCAAAACATATAAATGAACTAAAACTAAAAAACATACAAAAATAACAAAGACCAGAGGCTCCTGACTTGGGACAAGCGCGAAAAAAATGCGGCGGGATTAAAAATGTTTTGTGAGATCTCAACCCTCCCCCTATTCCTCTAGCCAATGTAGAATAAACAAACACACAGTAAAACTCAGTTTAAAAGAAGTCCGTCGGAGTCCGATTGTGAACAGTATCGTGTTCATATTTAATTGGATTCATTGGACATGATTTTTCAGATCCAACGCGAAACCAGAATAGTTATTTTCTATCATGAACAAATTAATTTTACGTACTTGAGGTGTTGAAAGAGGTGGGTTTCTTCAAAGAGAGGCGAAAGGTATCCAAAAAGATAATCGAACTCATAAGTCGAAAATGAACTGACGATGCCATGACAAAAACGAAAAACAACCAAAGGGAAAACAACAGTATGAAAAACACAACACAGAAAACGAAAGACTGAGCAACACGAACTCCACCAAATTCGTTTACATGAGCGTTTACATCACAACCCTTCAAAGAACAATATATACAAATTGTTCTTGAAAACTAATGTTGTCGTCGACAAGAACGACGCAAACATCTTTCATATTAGGGTACATTCTTATAGCATCTCCAACTTATGAAGGTAGGATTCTGAAACGTTCCAAAAGTAAGACATCTGACTTCCTACCTATAACATAAAGATTTCCATTATCATCAATATACCCGGAACGGTCTATGATGAACCATCCTTGTGCATCGTTTTTCTCCACCTGGTTAACTTTGCCCGAAAACGGTATATTTATCAGATCCAACGATAATTTCATCAATATGACGTCTTGGCACGTTCTCGCTGAAATCATTAATAACTTTGAATTCATCATGTGGTAAAAGGTTTCCTACAAAATAAGAGTAGTATTTGTCGGACGTAGTAATCATGTTGGTTGAAGTAAGTAGCCCATATCAACCATAGTTGATCCATATCATATATGTGAAGCCCGCCTCGTTGTGTTGAAGACCCATTGGTGGACTTCGGCTGTTTTCTGCTCTTTGGTCGGGTTGTTCTCTCTTTGACACATTCCCCATTTCAATTCTCAATTCTATTTTCGTCGTACCGTATGCAGCAACGAAATTGTACACTACCGACCCTACAATTTCTGCACGACGATGGGCAATAAGCAAGTCACCTGTAAATACGGTATTCAAAGGTAGTTGAGTGCATTTGGAAAGTTCCAAACTAAGCATCACTTGTAAACACTGTGGACAGAAATAAGCTGCAGTACATTTATCCATATCAAATATATGAAGTGCATGCGAAATAATCTATGCCTTCTATGGAATTAAAATTAAAAAAGGTCTTCTACAATAACTTTTGTTATTTCTATATAGGGATAACACGCTGGAAAACCCACACTCCATACGAATCTTTGGCCGTTAAAAATACATAATTTTACAGTAAGTTCATAGATTTTTTAAAACTGTACCCGATAAAAAGTGTCAATAAGTTGGTTTGGGACACAGTTGTATGGGTTACTGTGCTTCCTCCAGTAAAAGCAGAACAGAAATCTTCTGGGCTCAATTTACTAGGCAGCTCAACGTAACATTTACTGTCACTGATGAGTCATTGTGACAATATGATGGGCTTCAAAATATATATATTTATATATATATATATTTATATTCTTAATATGTTTAATATGTTTAATAAAATTCATTGAATAAAATAACACAGGGAAATATCTATCAAGAACATTATACAAATAAGATTTAGACTGATGGTTTTAATTCAAGGTTAAAATTATATGTACACATGTAGGCCAATTATGGAAATAAGTATCATATGATTAATCGTTATAATCAATAACGCGATACATCTTCCGACGAATATTAATGTGATGCTGATGAAAAAAAAAGGAAATCAGCAAGCCAAGAAAAAATATGAGAGAAGAGGGTCATAAGGTCATCTATAACTTCCGGTTTAAATGAGATGACAAATGATAATAGTTCTGATAGATATAGTTGAGAAAGTAGCCAGAACATGCCTGTTTATGAAATATGTATACTAAAGAAAAATAAACGAAAAAATTTATAAGTCTGAAAGAAAGACTAATTAATGTTAAACATTCTCACATTTTTTGTTTGTTTAGGACTAACAAGATGTAGTTATAGGCTTCGTTATAACTAGTTTGTTTATTTATAAGTATAATTTTTATGTGTATATGAAATATTTTTGTAAATAATATACCTTTTTTAATTAAACATATTCATTCTAATTGTCGCTTCAGATGGATCACTGAAAAAAATATTGATTGTTTAGAATTCGTATTAATATCAGCAATCTCTTAATCACGGCTTTGTTTATGAAAAAGGAAGGAAAGTGTTGGTTGAATGTCAAACCTTATTAAAACAATTTTCAGTCCTCCCGAGGGAAAAATATTTCTTATTTTTTTCAATAAAATTTTAGAGGTTTTTTTTTTTGGTACTTATTTAAAATAGATAACACATTGATAATTTCATTTAGCAAATTAAAGCAGTAAGAACTAATTGAGGACGACTTTGAACTATCAAATTTAGTAAATGCATTAATTTATTTTGTTGCTATATTTATAGGTATTTTTTGTTATATTTATTTTGCAAATATATTCAAAAGTTTAAGTGAAGGTGTTTAGCCAATTGATAATTGAGTAATAGGAGAGGGTCAAATAGTCACTAAATACCTTGGTGGCGATCAAGTGGTGTCAACTAATGTTGAGGGCGATGGTACTGCCTCCAGAGACGTTAAACTAGCTTCTGCACCACTACTAGAAACAGTCACTAAGAACCATTATCCAGTACTCAACTTGTCAAACAATGAGCGGTAACAATTGAGTAGACTAACCACAAGAATGACGACTGGACAAGAACACTGGATATTGGCTTTGATTATTGGACACAACGCAGACATTTGTATGTAAATAAAACTATACGATCACACAACTTTATATTGGTAGAGGGAATCGTTCTACAACATCACAGGTAGATTTGCCTGATTTGTTCCAGCCGGTGATAACTGAGCAACCTAGTCAGGGACCCTGAATCAACAGGGTAGGTAAGCTAGGTCAGTTTGGAGTAATATCAACGACAGATGGTGGATTACATGGAGGTCAGAGTTATCAACGACAGTCGGAGTAGTTGTACTTGGCGGTCAGAGTTATCAACGACAGTCGGAGTAGTTGTACTTGGAGGTCGGAGTTATCAACGACAGTCGGAGTAGTTGCACTTGGAGGTCGGAGTTATCAACGACAGTCGGAGTAGTTGTACTTGGAGGTCGGAGTTATCAACGACAGTCGGAGTAGTTGCACTTGGAGGTCGGAGTTATCAACGACAGTCGGAGTAGTTGTACTTGGAGGTCGGAGTTATCAACGACAGTCGGAGTAGTTGCACTTGGAGGTCGGAGTTATCAACGACAGTCGGAGTAGTTGCAGAACTTTTGAATGTTCGAAAATTACGAAGAGTGTAATGATAGAACTGTTACAACTTAGTTATTCACACAAGAATTGTATGAACTATGCATTGCTGGATATTTAGATGTTGTTGAACTGTTGAAATGATTTTGTTTATGAATGTTGTTGTTTTTTTTTAATTTGCAAGCATTCATATTGTCGCTGATTCAAACTAAAATATAAAGTTATATTTTTTAAGAAAGGGAGGAATGTGACAATATGATGGGCTTCAATATATATATATTTATATATATATATTTATATTCTTAATATGTTTAATATGTTTAATAAAATTCATTGAATAAAATAACACAGGGAAATATCTATCAAGAACATTATACAAATAAGATTTAGACTGATGGTTTTAATTCAAGGTTAAAATTATATGTACACATGTAGGCCATATGCTGACATGTTATAATAACAATTAGTTAATGAACTGGACATACGCAAGATTAACAACTATAAATTGTCCAGATTGGTAAAAACATGTCAATTAAAGTCAGCTTGATAGATATTCATCTGTGTATCTTTAGAATAAAAACTATTATTGTCAAAGTAATAGAAATTTTGATAAACTGTTATATTCAAATGAAATTGTATATAAACTATTGCTTTTTCTGTTAGGGGGAGACCGTCCGTTATGGACACTGGTTCAGACAGGCTTGGATAAACTGTTGTTCCAAATAACCTTGTGTTGTGTTACATCATTTGTAGACGAAACGCACATCTGGCGTACAACATTTTAAACCTGGTATCTGTGAGGTCGCTAATCACTAAGGGTAATCTGTTACTTTTAGTTGTGTTGTTGAAAATTGCAAACCCGAGTGAAGGCAGTCCATTTCTAAAGATTGTACCCTTTGGTTCTATCATCAAAAGACAAAAATGTTTTCCAGTTTATGTCATCAGGTCTAATATCAAATACAGTATAACAGCTACGCATTAAGGAATATATCATAGGTTCTGTATGATATCTGAACCATCTTTCCTGTTAAACTGAATTGAAAGAAACAGCAACTAACCCAGCACTTCGTATTCTGAAAGCACAAATAAACGAATATTATTACTCTCCGGTGGACTACCATGTGTTTTCTAATTGTGAATCATATTGTCGGCCGTTCGTAATCAATCACTTTAGTTGCATGCTGACATTTTGCAACGTTTTCGTGAATTTAATTTTATTTGCACTTTTAATATTCACTTTATCTGAAAGTTTGTGTGTTCATCTTATCTAATAAAATTATTTACAGTAGAAATGTGATAGTGCTTGGGTGCTCGAGCTTCGATGCGTGGCTCTAAGTTTGGAACGTACTGTATATGTAATGTCAGTAAAACGTTGGTTTTTTTTATCATTTTTCTATGAGACATAATGATCATGAAATATTTAGAAAAACAGGTTTGCAAAAATGTGTAACCACATTATCTCCGAGACGGAGTGAAACCCAGGGCGTCGATAGTGAAGTGTAGTTGAATTCCCCACTGTTTTTTACTGCGATAAAGCCCACTCCTTTACGCAACAACTGGAAATAGTCAATGCTTCAGCAGAAGGTCTTATGATCTCTTATTGTTGACCTCTATCGGATCGATTTTACGATTTTATGGACATGCAGCGGATTATAATTTCCATTTTTCCTTGTTTTGCAGTTTTTACACAAATTATAAATTATAATAGATAAAAATGTTCAGCACAAAAATTTATAAATCAGTCAACATAGCCGAAACAGTCAACCGATTCCTTATAGAAGTTATTTCTCCTGAAAGATGATTTTTAATTGATTTTTGCATTTTTGTCAAAAATTATAGGAGTAAGAAACTTTAAAATGTCAAAAAAACAGCAAAATAAGATCTACAAGTAAGTCAACATGGTCAAACACTATATTTCTAGGATTTATTGCCATTTAATGACGTTGTTATTTCTCAACAACTTTAATAGATCGTAAAATTGTTCATAAAAATATAAAAAAAAAATGCCACTAAATAAGATCTACGTATAAACAAACATAACTGATTGCAATAAAGGGAAAAAAATGAATATCAAAATTGTATATTTTTTACCAGGTTTTATCTTGTTTTACTATTGACAGAGATTTCAAGTAGTAAAATATGCGGAATGTCTCAATTTCATGTTGCCGTATAAGATAAATTCTTATGTTTAGCTAAATATTTGAATGTTTTATTTCATGCTTAAGGAAAGACTCTTAAATCAGTATAGAAAGAATACCATCATTACATCTGACGTAACGATCACAGCAATATGACTGGTCACGTATTAGATTCATTAATTTAAAAGTGAATTTATACAAACAATATTTTCTTTGTAGTTGTGTATTGTTGTAGTTGATTGTTGTCCCATAATGTAAACATACTTTTTGAAGGTTTTTATTGGTGGTGTTTTATTATCTGTATTTGTCTCCTGGTATGTAAATATGCATATTATTTTCTGTTTGTATGGTAATGAAACAAATCCTTATAGATCTAATATTTTCTTAGTTCTGATGTAACTCTCTTGATAGCCAAGCTCAAATATAATATCACAATCCACAAAGTCCCCAATGGTGAGTTTTAAGTCAAAAGTAAATTGTTACAAGTAAAAATTATCACCATCAGTGAAATTGAGCACTATGGATCTAAAACAACTCCCTAATAATGAAATGTTAGCATAAGTGATAAAGGGGGTATCTGTGTGTAAACCAAATCATAGTCCAATAAATCATACTAGCTCAAAGCAGACAGAACTTTCAAATGAATAATATTTATAAATACAATAAATTCAATAACAAAATAGTTTGGCCCTTGAGAAACACTCAGCATAATTAAGAATTTAGGAGTTCCTGCCGAGCAAGTCAAATTGCAACCTGTAGTGTGAGGAAGAACCTGCCTGCCCGACAATACGCCAGCCGGGAATGTGAAAAGAGGCGTCTCCACGAAGGGGATGAGACTAGGCGTCTCACCTGCAGCCGGGGTGTGCAAGGTCTGCATGGGGGATAGCCCATGTGGTGCTATTACAAGTAGTAAGTAGCAGGGTCTATCAATCTGGCGCTGGAATAAATTTGATAAAATTTTCCCCGAAATGCTTGGGGATGAATGAAATTTTAGAAATGACCAGTGATAAAATTCCATCAAGGAAAACAAATAAAAAATATCACTGTTAAAAGCTGAGATGTTCCTCATGTCATGAACATTATTGGGGTTGGTGGGTGGTAAATTGAATTCTAGCACTGTAAAACTGTCAAGTTGAACTTAGTTTGACAACTGATTGCACAAAGACCATGCATATGGCTTAACACACAGATTTTGGGTACATTAATCATCTAGTGGCAGGAGATTGACAGTTTATATATACTTATTAAAGTGTAATTATTTTTATGAGACTGAAATTATTCTGCCTTTCATCACACACAGTGAATAATTGTAACAAAGATTTTATTGATATAAAATCCAAAATATGGATTGTCATCAACACACAAAGAACAATCATTAATCATTACAATCAATTATATAACAATACATAACATAAAAAAAAAAGAAGAAAGAGGTGTATATATAAATATATAATGAGTATTTTTATTTTCCCCTTCTATCTATTTGACTGAGGAGGTACAGTTTTAGATACTAGTATTACAATTTATATAATATAAACATAAAATAACTTAAGTTAGTGAACTTCTGAACGTGTACATCTCATTAATACCTTTAATGCAACATTTACTGACATCATAATCATTACTTCGAAATATGAAATAGAATTTTTCAATGTCTGAAAGATTATTGAAAGATGGTAAAATATCAGAAATATTCTGAAAAAATTTATTCCTCAGATCATTGAGTTTGGTACATTTTATGGTAAAGTGTAATTCATCTTCAACTTCAAATTTACATAGGGGGGCATAATCTGTTTTCTAAATCAATCTTTTTATGTCTGCCTTTTTCAATCATAAGGATACTATTACTTATCCTTATTCTTACAAAGTTTGAAATATCAGCTCTGTCTATATCTAATTTTAAAAAGTTCTCCATATCAAATTTCATCTTCAAATCCTTGTAGGTTCTTAATTTGTTTCCTCTTTTATCATTAACATGTATCAGATTAAGAATAGATTAGTATGTCCCCTGGTGAGATTGCAGTGTAACTTCAAAGTGTCAAATTCCAGAGAAATTAATCTCAAGATGTAGCAAGTGGTCTGTGTACGTTAATTAAATATATCCAAGATGTCAGCATGTTTACTGGAAAGATTAATTATCAAAGTTGGATGGAAATATTGTTTGTATAAACATTACTTATATTAAATAAAGTAACCTAATAAGTCGGACAATTAATACATGCTGAATTAACATAAAAATTAACATTAAAAACTGCCTATTTCATGTCTTTACTATATAAATAGGACTAGCAAATGAGGCACAACAGCACATTATTAGTGGAAAGGTATTTCTATCATAGAAGAATCAACATGGACCATTTTAGTGTAAGCTACGACCAGTTACCTATGACAGAGCCCTTCATGCATTGCACCATTCCCGATAGAATACAATACTATGCTACAAACAGTCCGGACAAAGCCGCATTTATTATTCATTCTACGTCTGGAGGTCGTGAAGTTATAACATGTGAAGATGTATACCAGCAAAGTCAGACATTTGCTAGGGGTCTTGTGCATCTTGGAATTCAGAAAAGTGACACTATAGGTCTGTTTTTTCCAAACAGTAAGGAGTGGCTTGTTTCAACCTTTGGAATATTAATGGCAGGAGCGGTTCCATTACACATGTCATTCAATTACAATAACGGTCGAGATATTATACCAGTTCTACAGGTTCCAGGAAATTGTAAAGCTATATTGATGGCTAACGAGAAGGATAGTTCCATTCGTGATTTTCTGGATAATATTCTTAAGAGAAGCAAATCCGATACTGAGAATACGGAGCTTAAAAAAGAACGTCTACTTCCTT